CAAATTTAGGGGGGGGGGGGGTATTCAATAGAAGTATGTTCGCTTTACATTCTACCTAGGCGGAAATTCAAAAACTCTCTTATTTCGGATAAGAACCTGCAGACCATTTATCCGTAGATATGTGTTCAAGTTATATTTCAGTTCAAACTGGTGTATTTCAGAAATTGAGGCAACGAGATGAAGCATTGGAAAAGGAGATGGAGGGCCTCAAAAGCAAAATTCAAGAGCTAGAACAGCTAGCAAGGGAAAAAGGACTTGCTGGTATGTTCAATCTCAGACATCCTCATGTTAAAGAAGGCAAGACAGCAACACCAGCATGATCTGTTTGCTCAGTTTTGGCTAACAATTGGAATCATATTGTTCCCTTTCAGTCTTTAGATCAAAGTCCTATTTGACTATTTCAAGGAATGCGCGGTCTAAGCTTCTTGCCAACTCACTGTAAATAAAGTTAAATTTTGAACCAGCCATTGTTGTTAAGAACTTTAGATGTTGAATTTGCCATTTTAGAGCTTCATGTGTTCCACTCCATGTTACATTTGGTGGAAGTAGCATAAATTTTGCTGTGCAACCTTCGTCTCGTGCCATGTTCTACTTAATTTACATTCATCCACCTGACCAAATAGAAAAGTTGTTGCTTGACGACACACGCTTAAGAAACTTATCATTTGCTTATAGAATAAAGGGGAACCTTGGAGCAACAGTCAAGTTGTCTCTATGTGACCTATAGGTTACGGATTCGAGTCATGGAATCAGCCATTGATGCTTATATCAGCGTAGGTTGCCTACATCACACCCCTTGGGGTGCGGCCCTTCCCCGAACCCTGCATGAACGCGGGATGTTTTGTGCACGAGACTGCCCACTTCAACCAGCATCTGATGTCGATGCTAGTGAAAAGTATGTGCAGATGCTCCTTATCTGCAAAAATTATTTTAGATTGCAAATATCAGTATTGATCCTTTAATACAGTTCAATTCCAAAGGGGAGCATCAAGAATTGACTATAGGGAATCTTGAAAATGATAATGGAGTGTACCCTTTATGCCTTCCTTGCCTTGTTCTTTCTCTTTTAATTTATTCACCCACAAAAAGGCCTTTCTGCTGATGGATCTGGATGCTGCTCATATAAAGGCTACATATTCTAATTTGGGTGACAAAAAGGACCAATCTCTTAGTTCCACATCATCAAAAAGAGTCCTATTATGCACTTTGGTTCTTGATGAAAAGTGTCATGGGAATCAATTTTCTTTGATTTAGTGATATTGCAGCCCTTCAAGATTGCGAGAGTGATCCTGGAGCAACGGTAAAGTTGTTTTCGTGTGACCTATAGGTCACGGGTTCGAGCCGTGGAAGCAGCCACTAATGCTTGCATTATGATAGGTTGTCTATATCACATCCTTAGGGGCGCGGCCCTTCCCGGATCCCGCGTGAATACGGAATGCTTCGTGCGCCGTGTAGCCCTTCGAGATTGCATTTGAAACAACTAGCAAAACTTATTCCCTTGCTTATAATAAGGCTGTGTCAAGGAATCTGTCCAACTTGGTAATAAACTTATTCCCTTGCTTATTCCCTGACTGATAGAAGCCTTCTTTTGCTTATCCAAGAGAAAGATGAAAAAATCTTAATCAGACTCGATGTTTATACTGAATTATATCAATTCACAATAGTTAAGTGATAAATTTAGGGGAGAATACGTATTGATTAATCATTGTTAGGCGACGGATGGCTATATAAAATAAATATATCATCCATTCATTAGTTTATTGTAAATTTATCATGTGTTTTTTATATATATATATATATATTTTTATTTTTTATTTTTTTGAGAGAGAGATTGTCATCTGCATTAAGAAAGGAATTGACATTCCAATAACAGGAGTACGAATCTCACCATGAGATTGTAGACCTCAAACTTCATATTCCGAACATGATTCTAATTTTGTCCTTACCCCTAGCCAATGTAACTCTACTCCAGCCACGACCCCCCCCCCCCCCAAACAAAAAAAA